TCAAGGCGGCCGAAGATAGGTTCGGGTCCTAGGCAAGCGATTTTCTCAGTCAAGACGACCGAAGAAAGGTTCGGGTACTAGACAAAAGCAATCCCGTCGAGGCGACCGAAGATAGGCGACAAACCACCGAAGACAGTCCGGGTCCTCGACACACAATACCAACTATCCGGAATTACTCTTACCCTTCGGCAAGGTAAGTAGCCCCATATATGTTTTTATTTGTTTTAGTACGCATCATCTTATCGCATTATAAAAAATGGGACTCACGGTCTCACCAAAAATAACATTCATTGAGCATGCATGGGCCAAATTTAGGTGTCATTTTATCTTTGAATGTAACATCTACGAGCTCAACCTCTGCGAGCTCACCTTCAAAGAGGGGCAGCTGTTGACACCTATTTTAATTTGCCCAAAATTAATTGCACAAAATTTAGGAGTTAATTTTCTTTAATTCCTAAAACAAAAAATATTTCTATTTAAATGCATTGCATATAGAAATTAGGCACATTTTGTATTAATAAGGTCTATTAGAACTTTAAAAAAAAATTCAATTTAAAAAAAAAATTTCGAGTTGGGTGGGTCGGTCGGGTCGACCCGGCCCTTTTCTTCTTTTTCTTTTCTTTTCCCCGCGGGCCCGGCCCTTTTTCTTTTCTTTTTTTTTCCCGCGGCCCAATTTGCCCACCTTTCTTTCTTTTCTTTTTTCTTCCCCGTGCGGTTGGGCCCGGCCCGCCAGCTCCCTTCCTCTTCTCTTCCCCCACGCCGACCTGTCTCTCTTCTCTCCCCTATTCTCCTCTTTTCGACGTCCCCGAGCGACGAACGGCCGAGCGCCTCGCGCGTCGTCTCCATCAGGTTAGAAGTTCGCCAAGGAAGCACGCCGATGGGACTGGCCTCCTCCCCGAAAACCCGGGGCCTCCTCTCTCTCCTTCTTCCTTCCTTCTTCACTGACTCGGAGCACCCCCTGCACCGGCCTAAATCGGCCACAAAAATCTTGAATAGGCGTAGGCCGGTGCAGGCCATTAATGGAGGAGATCAGATCAGAGAGAGTGAGCGTCGTCGTCGCCTATAAAAACCGGAGAGAGAGAGAGGCCCGATCGGCCATTTTAGAGAGAAAAGAGGGATAGAGAGAAATAAAGGGGGAGGGACAGATGAAAAAAGATATTTGGAGACGTGGCATGCGGAAGGACGTGCGCGGGGCCGTCAGGAGTCGCCGTGCCTGTGATCTGACAGCCGCACATAATCAACCCTTGTATTCGGAGGCGATATGGTTGCAGTGTCTAGCCCGAGTAAGCCCAAGCATGGAAGCCCCAAGTCGCCGAGGGGAGCCCCGGGGGAATACGGCCTGTTCACGGGAGCTGCGAGGACGGGAAGGTTGGGGTGCCGCACGGAGTAGCCCCGGGTCGCAAGGGTGAGCCTCGACATCCCCTGTTCCGCCTGTTGTGTTTTGCACGGTTTGGCCGGGACTACGCAGCGGCCAAGTCGCTCTCGCGCAAATCCCCCCACGCGCCTGGTCTCCGCCAACCGCCACCTCGCCTCCAGGCCACCGTCGGAAGCGAACCATAGCCGTCGGAGCCGACCAAGTCGCCGGAAGAGGTCGAAATCCTCCGATTTTAGTCGCGCACGCCAAGTGCTCGATGAAATGCCTCAAAGAGGCTAGTTTTGTTTTGGACGCCGGCCGGCGAACGAGCGATCGAATGGCGGTCCCGGTGGTCGGAGAAGGTAAGTGAGTCTTATGTGGTGAAGACCCGAAGCCATGGGCGGCTTGGAGTCGTTCAGCCGAGATCGCCGAATCTCGCCGGCCGAAGCTCCGGCGTTCTTAGCTCTTGGGAGCCGTCTTGGCACTGAGCCGCCCCACGCCGTGTCACCCGGCCCCCGGCGGGTTTGACGCCAGACCTATTTCAGCCAATAGGCCCGGACCCTTCGGTAATCGTCTATCACCCCTTTTCTCCCCCCTTCGCCCTGGGCTGCCGCCCGTGTTCTTTTCTGCTACAGTCCTCGGCCCATAATTACCCGGCCGGTTCGGGTCGGAGAACGTTGTCCGAATTCCCTCGGTGACCTTTGGGTTCAGATCCGAAGCACCGATAGCTCGGTCCAGTCGCCGGGTTGGCCAGACCGGTCCCTCCGACGACCGGTTTATTTTATTTTATTTTATTTTATTTTTAAAAAAATTAATTAATAAAAAAATTTAAAAAAATTAATTTTTTTTTCTCTTCTTTTCTTTCTTCTTCTTCTTCCGTATTTTCCTTTTTTTTTTTTTTTTTTTTAAATTATGTTGTATATCTAAATGTTTTAATTTATTGTTGTATTATTATGCAATGTTGTTATAATTGTATAAATTGCCATGTTTAAATTAGATAAGCCTATCGGGTTATACAGTAGTATTTTGCATGTTGCTTTTATTACTGTTTTGTTATTATTATGCATGTTTTTAATTAAAATATAATTGTATGAATTGTTTTGTTTTGAATGTCATCTGACTTAGTTAGGATTAGAAACTTATGCTGCATATCTATCTTGACTTCTAATCGTTTATGATTATGCACTCGCTTGATCACCTCACATGTTAGGAGAAAGATCCTAAAATCAATCCAAACCGCCTGACAAATGTTTTCAAAAAATGAACAGGGTAAAAAGGTACCGAAAGGGCATTAGTTATCCAACTAGTGTAACCAAGCCCCCGAACTCATTTAATCTCTGGTTCGTAGGAATAGGGTGATTCTCCCATCACCTTATTTGGGTTCCTAATCGACCCATCCCAAATCGATTAGTGGCGACTCCTTGATATAAACCACTTGCAGGTTAAAAAACTTAAACCCTAAGTCGCGATATGGCTTGGGAGAGCCCGAGTTAAGTCCCAAACCTAAACTTAGCACGTTTCAGGCGAGCCCCCCCTTTTTTGCATGTCGATGATAAAAAAAAGCGGGAAGCGGGAGTTCGGTCGTGACAACTAATAATCTAGATATAGGGAATCAAACGTTATCCTATTAACACTGATAGTAATCTCACGAGTTGGCTAAGCAGCATGTCACAAGAAGCGTTAGACCTCGAGTTTAGTTCTCGCTCAACAAAATTTCCTAGATGGCTTGTTATCGAACTAGAAAGTAGACTTAAACCCGCATACGGAAGCTCACATGGGGTCCCTACCCGACTCTTAGTGCAACACCAAGAACACCAGCAACTCGCAACAATTTTCAATTGCTTCTTTTCATTCGCCATGCTTATGTTTGCCCTGTTAGACAAACGTCACAAACCGTACACCCAAAAGTTTAAACGAACAGGAGACGTCCAACAACCTATGTATAGCAGATTACCTATGTGCATTGGCCAAGTGGTGTCGAGGCCCCCGTGCATCCACCAAGTCCGCCGTTGACAGCTTAGCTCCACATCGTTGTTTCTCTCTTTTTATTTTATTTTGATTTTGACCTTTTCTTTTGTTTCGATTCTTATCCCTTCTTCTTTTTCCTTACCTTATCGGTGTTTTCTTTGACTTTCACTTCCTAACCATCATCCTTTTATGTCTAAATTCAAATTTTTTCTCTTTGTTTTTTCCTCATCCCTATTTGCACATTCATGTATCCTTCTACGAACTTGGGTTTTTCTGTTTCTTTTTAAATTATACGAGAAGGTCTTCGTGCAAGTGTTGTGAAAGTTTTAGAAATTTCAAATTTAATAAAGTCAAAGTCTACTTGCCACGAGCTTTAAATTAAGTAAAAAGCGAAAAATATATATATATATGGCTAATTCCAAAAAAAAACACAAATTTTAGGTTAGGTGACAATTCTAGCCTCAACTTTTTTTTTGTCTCATAAAAAAGCACCAACTTTAAGTGTCAACTTTTTTTTATCTCGTAAAAAATCACCAACTTTCACCATTATTCCAAATCTGGCCTCTCGTTGACTCTCTATTTGAAGTCACCATTGGTTGAGAAAAAAGGTTATGGTCGTGACCTTGGTAGATCTCGTCCATGACGTATGTCGACGAGCGGTGGTCTACAATTTCAGATTATGACAAAATGACGAAGACTGGCCAGACATATTCAATCTAGAGATCTTTTTTACTTGCTGATGAAGTGAATGAGACGAACAATTTCACCGTCATTCTTCAAGCTATGGCTCGGAGAAGAAGACAATGAATAGTGCTTTAAATCTAGTCAGCAAGCCATGTAGATTTATTGCTGAGGTGAAATAGTCAAGTTGGATAATCAATGGTTCTAAGTCAAGGAGGCCAGATTTGGAATATAAGTGAAAGCTGGTGATTTTTTATGAGACAAAAAAAAGTTGGGGTTAGAATTGTCACTCCACCTAAAGTTGGTGTTTTTTTACGAGACAAAAAAAATTGGGGCCGGAATTGTCACCCAACCTAAAATTGATGCTTTTTTTTTTTTAAAATTAGGCCTATAGGAATAAACCATTCATTCATCGGAATATACCACAACATGGTAATTTGAACTGCTGCAGATTAGACGCCGGGTCATATCTGGTGCTCGTCAAACGTGCAAGCAAAACATAGTTCAGAAAACAGAGTAATAGTCAACTTTGGCAACACCTTGTCCCCGGAACCCTTCCGCAAATTCCGCGGTGCGAATGATTCTACGTCGACCGCATCGTCCACGAAAACGAGTCTACACAAATCAAGGGTCAACCTCGAAGAAAAGGCCCGGTCGACAGATTGTAATGCTTTACTTAAAGCTTATGATGAACGGGTCCGGCCGCGAAGCCAATACCAAATCGAAAGGACAATGTATCTTAGTTATAACTTAATTCGGCGCAAACGAAAAGAAAAAAGACAGCCAAAGTTCATTTCAAAAGGCATGAGATACCAACAAACTGACGGGCAATCGACTCTGCTTAATTATATCGTTAACTAAATCAATTAAATTAACCCTGTTTTGTCTCCCCTCCACGGAAAGCAAATCAACACACGCAACGCAGCATCACAAAATGACAGGGTTCAACAAGACAAAAAACGACTTAAACGGCACGTCGCACTCGCACTCGCACTCGCCCAAATGATCACTTCACTTTCATGACAAATCGATTTCTCAATGTGCTAGTCTCCCTATAAATTACCACTAATCTCCATCTAAACAGCATGTACCAAATTCAATCACCAAGACATCTTCACTCGTAGCGAAAGAAAATACAGAAAGACGAAGAGAAAACGAAATGGGCCAATCCAAGCTCTCCTCCACCGTTCAACTAGTCCTACTGTTGTCCCTCTTCGCACCCCAAGCGTCGCTATCGCTATCCTCGCCGTCTCCGAACGCGCCGTCGGGCCTGTACCGGGAGTACATCGGAGCCGAGTTCAAGGGCGTCCGGTTCTCCGACGTCCCGATCCGCCCGGGCGTCGAGTTCCACTTCATCCTCTCCTTCGCCATCGACTACGACTCGTCGTCGTCCCCGACCAACGGCCGGTTCAACGTCTTCTGGGACACCGACAACCTCACCCCCACCCAGGTCGCCTCCATCAAGTCCGGCAACTCCAAGGTCAAGGTCGCCGTGAGCCTCGGCGGCGCCTCCGTGGGCGACGGCAGCACCGTCTACTTCTCCCCCTCCGACACCGACTCCTGGGTCTCCAACGCCGTCTCCTCCCTCACCGCGATCATCAAACAGTACCACCTCGACGGCATCGACATCGACTACGAGAGCTTCCGGGCCGACCCCGACACCTTCGCCGAGTGCATCGGGCGGCTGATAAGCACCCTCAAGAGCCGCGGCGTCATCTCCTTCGCGTCCATCGCCCCGTACGCCGACGACGCGGTCCAGAGCCATTACCTGGCGCTGTGGAGTAGGTACGGCCACCTCATCGACTACGTCAACTTCCAGTTCTATGCGTACGACGCGGGGACGACCGTGTCCCAGTTCATCGGTTACTTCAACGAGCAGAGCCAGAATTACGGAGGGGGGAAGGTCCTGGTGAGCTTCATCAGCGACGGGAGCGGTGGGCTGTCGCCGGCGAACGGGTTCTTCACGGCGTGCGGGAGGCTGAAGAGCGAGGGGAAGCTGCACGGGATCTTCGCGTGGTGCGCCGACGACTCCAAGGCTGAGGGCTTCAAGTACGAGAAGCAGTCGCAGGCGTTGCTCGCCATTTCTCCCTAGATGTCGTTTTGGGGAAAAAACAACAGAGTTGCTACCGTAGTCCGTGGCTGTCCGTGTGCTTTGTGTACGATTTTGTTGCATGCTATACTATTACTACGCGTTCTTGTGGTTTGATGTATACTTGTAAGATGTGTAATCTATACATATCAAGGATTTGTGAATAATGATAGTCATATTATACCTAAGACAGCCACGGGCTGACCAACGAAATATTTGTAATTTTCCTTTTCTCGGGATACTATTGTTTGTGCGTGCATCTTCCGTCCTACTCACGGAATGCCGATCTCAGATAGAGCTTTCTTCAATTGGGTTGGAGGATCTCAGATAGAGCTTTCTTCAATTGGGTTGGAGGAGAACGTGGCCCTGATGTATATCTATAAATCACCCGATATGACGAATGACAAATCGTATCAAACGAACCCACATTGAACACTAGGACAAGCTTGGCCTTTCAAAATGACAGAATTTGAGCGGATTGGTTTGTTGGGTAGTAGTGCTTTGCTTGAGCCTATTCTTGTCCGGAATCTTGGGTATTATAATGTGATTGAAACGGGACGATAAGTTGAGTAGTTTTGTTGGGCCACGAGTTATCCAATGTGGGAAAAAGATCGGCTCTAGCCCAACAAAAGATTAACCATGTGGATCACTATCAACGACGGCACAAGTAGGAAATCCTTGTATTCAAGTGAGGTCGGGTCGAAATCAATCGGGCTCCCAACCCTCCGCCTTTTTAGCGGGTGATCTTCGGGTTTCCGATGTACGTAATCGGGGTGGCGCGTAGATAACCCGACGTTCGGGACAAGCTTGAAATTTCAAATGGCGGACTTCTTGAATTCCGAGCCCCGTTAGGTTATGAGATGACGATTGTTCCCTGCCCTCCCTCCGCGCCGCACACACACAGATATACCCTCAGTCTAGTACAAGATATCCATCGGTAACTTCGTGGAGTGCCAAATACAAAAGTATTATGCTCGTGGTTGTCACATATGTTAAGCTGAGATTATTTTTGATAAGTTATAATTAGATAGATACATAGCGAGATAAAACACGAATTAGAGAGAGATCAACAAGATTTGTCTTTCCCCGACACATTTTTCTTTCTCACTCGTGGTGACGGAGACCAAGGGCTGCCAAAATGGGCGTGAGGATGACGGCGACTAGGGCCGACCGGCCGCGACCGAGAGGCGATGTGGCCACGGGTCTTTGTCTCGTTGCCAAAGTCGCAGACAAGCACCAGCTTCTAATAGCTTATGGTGACCCAACAGAAGTCCTTCTGTTGCGACTAAACCACTAAGCCGGCGACCAACTATACTATTCGGTCGCTAGAGCAGTATTTCCTAGTGACCAATTTTGATTTGATCGGCAGCAATTGTTCGCTCACTATTCGTTGCTGAACAATGTCTTTGTACCGTTACACGAAGGAGAGCCTCGACATCTAGAGGCGATAACTCGCCAAACCCTCCAAATCCGAAAGGCTCCCTCGAGACCACGGGCCAACGAGGATCGTACGGTCCTGGAGATCTCGACGACGATGCAAGGCGGCACGCCTGAGCCGAAAGCTCAGGCAGGATTGGTGTTTTGCAGCCTTGGGTGAGGTTTCACAATCGGTACACAGTTGAAGACCAAACTCAAATCAGAGATGTGGAAGAAGATTCTCGTGGAACGAGGCCGCACTGCAGATTGGAACACCCAAAGAGGAGAAGACGACGACGGGACCCACAGCCATTCCTATCGTGATCCCCCACCATCGCAAAAGACCTAAAAGCCTGACCAAAACTTCAAAGTCCAGCAGAGAGTAATCATCAAGTGGAGCTAACCCTGCCTTTTGCTGTCACATTCATTAGCTAATTCGATCTTTTCCCCTGCTCTTTTACGACGAGAACACGCGCTTGAAACCGACTTCGCCCCACTTTATATCATTTAGTCAACTTCCCAATCACAGCAATGGCTACTAAAGATCAGATGAGGAAAACCGCAATTGCGAGAAAGAATCCTCCGTCGTGGGTGTCGAAAATGACCATTTCTTTGACATCTCTCCCTTCTTTCCACAGGAGTCAAGAGATCTACGAATCGCTAGGCTCGTTGGGACTCTGCTGATTTTACTTAGCCATAGGTCGTCAAATCGTCACGGCACACGCACGAGGGCAAATACTTTGACTATCTAGAAGCCCGTGAAACACCCTGTAAACTTCATCAACGGGTCGAGTCCTAATCTTTCCACCCGTGTAGGCGGCCCTGGACGAAGATAAACTGCACGCCAGGTGGCCTCCCGTTATCGTTTTTTTTTTTTCCTTCTCAATTTTGGTTTTATTAAATAAAACGAAACTTTTGGGAGTGCGAGGACCTGAGCCAAGAGAGATTGTGCATGACTGAGACCGTTCCTGCCGACCATTTTGGAAAGTGGGAGGAAAACATCAAATCTTTCGCATTATTGATGCAAAAAGCAATGAAACTACCCCCCCAGACAGTTGACTCTAAACGTGACACCTTATTTTAGTTTCAATAACATTCGATTGCTCATCATGAACTCGAAACTATAGTCTCGTATTATCCAGACAATGCAAAATCGTAAACATATATATATGATCAGAAGACGATCTCGAACGTCATGGAAACATCCGTGTATGATTGTGCTTATGCACAATGTGGCGGGCGTGGATATCGTGAACTCCCGGTGTGAACGGCGACGGAAGATCGGAGACGTTATATGTACGGAACGAACGAATTTATTGTTATAGAAATTCATTTATAGATAGAAAGGGGAAGGTCGGCAGTAACGTCACGTCTGTTTTCTTCTTTTTGAGTCAATTGCTTCTTTCGATGGACAGAAGCTAGCTTCGACGTCCGTTGACTTGCCAAGCCGAGTGAATGGCGGAGGCAGATTGCGGTTAGGCACGGCCCAACTTGGCCACTCATAGAGATATTTCATGTTATCTTTTTCTTCTATTTTCTCTCTCTTTTCTTGTAGTTTTAGTTAGTGCAAATTTAATTTTCTTTCTCAAAATCACGGCATTAATTGCACTTAAGGCTCTCTGTTTTGTCTCGCAAAAAAAAAATGATTTCGAGAGCATTATTCTAAAAATGAAGATAACAATTTATGTCTGAATATTTTTTAGAACGATGAAAATATTTTTTGTTCATTTATTTTTTAGTAAACAATACAAGTGATCATTTTTAAGAAAATACATTTCCAAATCATTCATTTTCTGTAAAACTTTGCTTCACTGAAAACTTTACGGTAAATGAACATATTTTCCATGGAAATCATTTTCAAAGAAAATTGCTAGTTTTCATTTGTTTGGTAGCTTAGAGAAAATGATTTCCTTTTTTTGCCAGAAAGGGAAGTCGTTTTCTCCAAATCTAAACTTGTTGTTTTCAGCCCACTAAAAACGTTTTCCGTAGATCGATTAGTTTTCCGTCATCAAAACACCGAAAATTCATAAAATAATTTCCTAAAAATAGTTTTCCTTCAAACAAACGGATCCTTTCATATGGTTTTCCAATTGTTCATGATGGAACTTGTATATGTAACATCTATCTTAAGAGTGACGGATGCAAAACTATGTAATTCAGGGTAGGCGAGATAGAAGATCTTGCAATACCTAACTCAACACACAAGAGGACGGGCTATAAAAATTTCATGCGAAGTTTCATGAATACAATTTACGTTTGATGAAAATTAATTATACAAAGCACCGCACAGCCGTGGAGAGCAACCGCACCGGCTAACCCTCATTCGATTTGTTATCGTAATTTTGAGATTACAATATAGTATTCTTCCATCATAGAAATGAATTTTGCATTGTTGGAGATGGTTCTAGTTTTGAAAGTAGATTTTTATTTATCGATCTTTCATGCATGACAATATTCATAACCCGAGTTGATATCCTCAAGTGGCCTTGACATTAGTCGTTGGGGGGGAAAAGTGCCATAAAAGTCCTAAACCTTTTGCATTAGTGCCAATTTAGTCCTAAATCTTTTTTTGATGCCAATTCAGTCCTAAACCTTTTGCATTAGTGCCAATTTAGTCCTAAACCTTTTTTTGGTGCCAATTCAGTCCTAAACCTTTTAAATTTGTGCCAATTCAGTCCTAAACCTTTTGTTTTTGTGCCAATTTAGTCCTTCCGGCCAATTTTGATCGGAATTTGCCGACGTGGACGCTTGCTGGCCGGCCGGCCACCGGCGCCGACGTGGCGCTGACGTGGACAAATTAAATAATATTTTTTTGAATTTTTTATTTTTTTCCTTTTTTTTCTTTTTTTTCCACTTTTTTTTTGGGTTTCTCCTTACTCTGGCCGGTTGCCGGTTCGGCGACCGGCCAAAAGCCAAAGGCCGGCGAGCTCGACCTCGCTGGCCACTGGGGAGGGCGGCCTCGCCATGGTCGGGCGAGGCCCGACCTCGCCGGATCTGGCGAGGTCGAGCCTCGCCCAACCGCCGGCGAGGCTCGACCTCGCCCAGGATCCGGCGAGGTCGGACCTCGCCCGACCGTGGCGAGGCTCACCTCGCCACGGCCTCCCGGCGAGGGTTCAAGCCTCGCCATGGTCGGGCGAGGCCCGACCTCGCCCAGTATCCGGCGAGGTTCGCCCTCGCCGCGGCCTCCGGGCGAGGGCTCGAGCCTCGCCATGGTCGGGGAGGCCCGACCTCGCCGGATCTGGCGAGGTCGAGCCTCGCCCGACCAAGGCGAGGCCACCCTCCCCAGTGGCCGGCGAGGTCGAGCTCGCCGACCTCTGGCCTCTGGCCTCTGGTTGGTCGCCGGACCGGCGACCGGCCAGAGGAAGGAGAAACCCAAAAAAAAAGTGGAAAAAAAAAGAAAAAAAAGGAAAAAATAAAAATTCAATAAAATATTAAAATATTATTTAATTTGTCCACGTCAGCGCCACGTCGGCGCACGTCGGCGCCGTTGACCGGTCGCCGGCCGGCAGGCGTCCACGTCGGCAAATTCCGGTCAAAATTGACCGGAATGACTAAATTGGCACAAAAACAAAAGGTTTAGGACTGAATTAGCACTAATTTAAAAGGTTTAGGACTGAATTGGCACCAAAAAAATATTTAGGACTAAATTGGCATCAATGCAAAAGGTTTAGGACTGAATTGGCACCAAAAAAAGGTTTACGACTAAATTGGCATTAATACAAAAGGTTTAGAACTTTTATGGCACTTTTCTCGTCGTTGGGGTTAATACCTA